CCACTAGGGATTTAACCTAGGGGCGCTTTATCACAGAGCCACATCCCCAACCCTTTTTGTTTTTTATTTTGAAACAGGGCCTCACTGAATTGCTGAGGCTGACGATGAATTTTTCATCCTCCTGCCTCAGCCTCCCTGATCGCTGGGATTACAGGTGTGAGCCACCGCGCTCAGCTTTTCCTGGAATTTAAAGGAACTGACTTCAGAGCTTAGCCTGACCTCCACCCGCCCCCATAAGTGACAAGATATGAGACTGAAGTGCCTGCTTCCCATGTAATCAGTAACCTGGAGTGGCCATCTGGAGACGGAATGTACCCAGGTTATGATACTGATTCTTGTGATTTCATGGTACAGAAGGCTTTGTCTTTCTGGTTTCAAATTATTTTGGTCTTCTGTGGGAAGATACTTTGTGAGATAAAACCATCAAGAAAAGCAAGTGAGTGATTACCTGAAAAAGGACACTGGCTAACCTCAGGCAGAAGGAGCAGCTACGTTGGAGGGAGACAGGAGGACAGTGCTGGGGGCTGGCAGGATTCTTTGTCTTGGCCTGAGTGGTAGTAATGCAGGGCTTCATTAAACCTTATAACTACTTTTATGCACTTATGTGTGTGCTACACAATTTTCTAAAAATTAAAAATTGAGAAAGGTCTAGAAAAGAGACCAAAATCTGATTCCTTGCAATTCCCAGTCAGGGACCAAGTTAGCTTTAGGAAAAACTCTTGGAAGGGAAGTGGGCAGAGGTGGGAAGGGTTAGGGCTTTCCTAAAGGGAGTTCAATCATGTGCTAGTTCTGGGGGAGTCATGTGAGCCAAGAACTCCCTAGTTCTTGCTGGGCTAAATATTCCATCCACCAAAAAAGTAATGAGACCAAGATCAGGCAGCACTTAAGGGTCTCAGCTTCCTTTAAGGCAGGACTGCTCCTGGCCTTACCTTGCCATTGTGATGTGCGTGTCTAAAAGGCTGGACAGATTCCGCAGGGTATAGACAAGTATATACAAAGTTTGAAGTTACAGGACCCTGGGGAGTGACAGTACAGAGTTCCAACTCAACTGGACCATGGAGGTGCCCACTAGGGGGCCACGTGATGCAACCTGGGAGTGCAGGGAGCCAATTTCAACTCAGAGAGGAAACAGGAGATGGGAAGGAGTCAGCCGACAAACCTCCCCTCCTCCTCCCTGCCCCCACAAACTGCTGGAATTTGCTGCCTTCTGTGGGACCTTCTAGGTGCTTTCAGACGGCCACAGCGGGGCTTTGGTGAAGCTGTGGCCAGCTTGGTAATGCAGCCGGTGTGCTTTTGCCTCTCCATCTGCCTTGCTTCCATCTTCCTTTATTCTGTTTACCCTTGGACTTGAAAATACAGACAGGGTCACACTGAGTTGTGGAGGTCCTTGCTGAGTGGCTGAGGCTGGCTTTGAACTTGCGATCCTCCTGCCTCAGCCTCCTAAGCCGCTGGGATTACAGGTGTGTGCCACCGAGCCTGGCTACAACCCAGGCTTTTTCTCAGGCCTGTTTTCTGGTGAACCAGAGCAACAATACATCAAACCTCCTCTGTAAGGACCATCTCAGGGCTAGTTTTCCATGGAGCTCGCATTGGGAAATGCTGGTTTAAAGATGCTTCTTCAACCAGGGGTGGTAGTGTAACAGGGGTTCACTTGATGCTTTGACTATAACCCTCATTGCTTGGAAACTCCCTTGACTTTTTCTTTTTCCCAAACTTCTCTTCCCTGGCTTTCTCCTCCCTCGTCTTCTTTCTCTGATCTCCTTCCTGATCTCCCCTCTCTAATCTCACTTTCTCTGAATCACCTCTTGAAAAGCCCCCTGTTCCTATACTGAAGGGCAGAATCTCAGCCTTTGGGACAGGAGTCCCCTGTGTTTCTGCTTTGCTAGCAAAGAAATACATCTTCTTTTTCCTTTTTCTCAAAACCGTATCCTTGTTATTGGATTGGCATTGGGGACAAGGACTGAGCTTTCTGCAATAGTGGCAAACACTTGTAATCCCAGCTACTTGGGAAGTTGAGGCAGGAGGATGGCAGGTTCAGTGTCCCTGGATTCAATCCCCAGTGAAGGATTCAGAAATGACAGCCCCCAAAACGGTGGCCTGGGAAGAGGGAGGAATATGGCAAAACATTGATAACATTGATCCTTTCTCAATACATGCTTTCCCAGTGTCAAGACAGTCCCTGGATAGGAGCCCAAACTCGATCCTTCCCCCAATAAATCCTTTCCCAGTGAAAATACAATAGGCCCTGGAGGGAAAGAGGTAGGTGCTGAACGCTGAACTCTGGATCCTCCATCCTTGCCCAGTAAAAACAAATTTCAAAGTCTCACAACCAGTTTCCTGAGTGCCCAAACTGATGGACCCCCCACCACCACCACACAAAAGACCCCCTTCTTGGGTGAGATATAAGTCTCACTGAACTCCCTAGGGAAAACAGGATGAATGAAAGAAAACTCAGATGGTTTGTAATCACAGGAAGAGAGCTTGTGCATTTATTAAAACAACACAGGACACGGACTCAGACCCCCACCATGGCGGGGACGGGACCTGAGATACAGTACATTTCCCCTTCCTAGGCCCCTGAGTGCTGCCCTGCCCCCCCTCCCCTATGAAGGAAGGAAGGGGGTGGCTCCATCTGCCTGGCTTTCTCCCCCTCTTTCTGACAATCAAGCGTTATACAAAAGTTCCTTTACAAAAAGCACCAAATTGGCATACATATACAAGTATGTACAAAAAGAAAAAAAAAATCACATTTTAAAAATGTACAAAATATTTCATTTTGCACCAACGTAGAAAAGTATCCTTTGTGATTGTTTCAAGCACGTTTCCCATTCTGGTTCAGTGGCTGCTGGACACAGCGATGGGGTCCTACTCTAGTCCCTGCTCTCTGAGCAGAGATGACATACCTCCCGATTGCAGCTGGGCCCCGACCCCTCCCACCCGGGGCCTGTCACCAAGGCAGGTGGGTCCGCCCCCCCTCCCCAGTCTCTCTGCATCCAGAGGGTCTCTCATCCAGCTCCTTATTGGTGTCCTGAAATTTTAAAAAAGAGGCACTTGGTCAGAAAGGGATTCAGACCCAGAGCTTAAGAAATGTAGCAACTTAAGAAATATAGCAATTATTTTTAATTTTTTTGGAGTTGTAGATGGACAGAATACCTGTATTTTATTTGTTTATTTAAAAAAATTTTTTTTAGTTGTTGATGGATCTTTTTTTATTTATATGTGGTGCTGATAATTGAACCCAGTACCTCACACATGTGAGGCACGCGCTCTACTACTGAGCCACAACCTCAGCCCTTACTTATTTATTTTTATGTGGTGTTGAGGATCGAAACCAGGGCCTCAGGCATGCTAGGCAAATGCTCTGCCACTGAGCCACAACCCCAGTCCTTTTTTTTTTTGTAGTGCTAAGGACTGAACCCAGTACCTAGCAGCGACTTAGAAATAAAGCCATTAAACCACATTTCCTTCTGGTCTCTTCCTTTTAAAACCAAAGTGGAGCCCAGTGCAGTGGTGCACACCTGTAATCCCAGCAACTTGGGAGACTGAGGCTGGAGGATCACAAATTCAAGGCCAACCTCAGCAGCTTAGCAAGACCCTGGCTCAAAACTTAAGAAGGGCTGGGGGATAGCTCCATGGTAGAGCACTCACTAGCATGTGTGGGGCCTTCTGTTTGATCACAGGTATTGCAAAAAAGAAAATAAATAAATCTGTAATTTTTAAAAGGTTAACAATGAATTTTCAAAAACTTTGAATCCTGTGCTGCCTGATGAAACATCTCAGGATCTAGCCTGGCTTAAGGCCCCTTGTCTTTTCCCTCAGCGGCCTGTCTTTTCCCTTTCTGTGTAGAATTGCTTTACACCGAGGAGGGTCACTTACATATAAAACGGAAACTTTCTATGATGAATAATTTGGGTTTTTGTTTGTTGGCACTGGGAATTGAACCCAGGGGTACTCTACCACTGAGCTACATCTCCAGCCCTTGTTTAATTTAAAAAATTTTTTTTTATTTTGAGATAGAGTCTTGCTAATTTGCTGAGGGCCTCACCAAATTGCAAATTACTAAGGCTGGCCTCAGACTTGAGATCCTCCTTTTTTTTTTTTTAAAATATTTATCCTTTAGTTATCCGCAGACACAACATCTTTGTTGGTATATGGTGCTGAGGATCGAACCCGGGTCGCACACATGCCAGGCGATCGCGCTACCACTTGAGCCACATCCCCAGCCCCTGAGATCCTCCTGCCTCGGCCTCATGAGTCTCTGGGATTACAGGTGTGCACCGCTGCGCGTAGCTGGTTTTCTCATTAAAGGTAAAGAGTAATAACCTTGCCCTTCATGGGTTTAAGACACACACTGGGAATAGGACAAAGTGTCACCCCCAATGCCGGCATGGCACTGTGCAAACGGTAGGTACCTGAGATGTTACAGAAGGAATGGATGGAGACCCTTGGAGTTCTTACCTTCCTCCTTCCCTTCTGTGGACACTTCCTCTCCCTGATCTTCCTCTTCCTCAGTGAACTCTTCCTCATCCTCATCTGTGACAGAGACCAGCTGTGTTAGGATGGGGCTGCTTCCCCAGACCAGCTGCCAGGAACAGCCAGGCTGCAGGCCCTCTCCCCCTGCCCGGCTCCAAGGGCCACCAGGAGGCCGCAGAAACCTGTCCCAAGGCCAGGCCTCCATGTTCCTGCCTCCTGGGGACTCTTTTCTCCCCTCCAGCTGCAGGGTTTATCCCTGTTGGCCTATGGCCACAGAGACCTGGGGGGACCTAGGGAGCAGCCCTCATGCCTCTGCACATCTCAGACAGACAGAGGTTGCCTGGGGAGCACAGGACAGACCCCTCCTTCTCAGGTCAGAGTCCTACAGGATCATTTCACTCCACTTTTGAAATCGGCTTGCTCAGCACCCGACCCATCTTCCTCATTCCTCAGCCCACAGAGGGGAGGATATGGGAAGGAACAGGTCTGGGGCCATCTCTGCTCCTTACACTGAGTACCAGAGGGACAGTGACCAAGCTGCAAGTCTGTGACCCCATTTTCTCGTCCTGGGGCCTCTCCTTCGAGCTCTCCAAACAGGGAGCATGCCCCTTCCCCACTCCTCTCCCAAATCACCTCCTTAATCCTGTGGGACCCCTGAGGGGTTGTGTAGTCAGGGTTTGTCAAGTGTCTCCAAAATGCCTCCAAAAGCCCAGTGTGGGGAGCACACCTGTAATACCAGCAACTCTGGAGGCTGAGACAGGAGGATTGCAAGTTTGAGGCCAGACTCAGCAATTGAGTGAGACCCTAAGCAACTTAGTGAGACCTTTTCTCAAAATAAAATAAATAGGGCTGGGGATATAGCTCAGTTGTTAGAGTGCTTGCCTTGCATGCACAAGGCCCTGGGTTCGATTCCCAACAACAAAAATTATAATAAATAAATTTTTAAAAAATCTGGGGATGTGGCTTAGTGGTTAAGCACCCCTGGGCTCAGTCCCTGGTACCGAAAAAACAAAAACAAAACAAGCCAAAATGCCTCCAAAGTCACAGTCAGCATGCTAGCCAAGGGCCTGGGTTCTGTGCGTAACCCAGGGAGTTTGCTGTTGTTTAATCATTATCACAACCACTGCTCACTTTAGCTTTCACTGGGGACTCACTGTTTGCCAAGTGTTGTGCTAAGTGCTGTATACACAGCATGTCATATACCCTCAGCAGGGTCCTGTGAGCCAGATGCCCTACAGTGGGATTGGAGTGGGCTACTCACTAGCTGTGTGGCCTTGAACCACTTGCTTATCCTCTCTGAGCTTGAGTTTCCTCAACTATAAAATAGGAATGATAATAGAACCTATCTCAAACTTATACTGAAGGATAGGACTGATGTTAAGGGCTTAGTGCGCGGGACATGGAAATCCTAATCAACGGGCTCAGTAACTGGCAGCTGTTGGTAGCTATTGATAGTATCCTTCCATTTTACCTACGATGCAACTGAGGAAGGTCATATCCACAGGCAGCACCCACTCTTGAACACCTCAGCTTAGGGAGGGAAGCCATGGAGCAAGGGGGTGATCTACAGTAAGGGATGGACCCATCCATTGCTATTTCAGCTTTAGGACCTTTATTTGGTACCGGGGATAGAACCCAGGGGTGCTTACCACTGAGCCATGTCCCAGCCCTTTTTATTTTTTGAGACAGGGTCTTGTTAAGTTGCTGAGGTTGTCCTTGAACTTGCAATCCTCCTGCCCCAGCCTCCCAAGCAGCGGGGATTGGAGGTGTGCATCACCAAACCCAACTTTAACCTAGTTCTTAAAGTTACAAAGTGAAGCTCAAAGAGGTGGAGGGGGACCTCGCAAAGGTCACACAGATAACACACAAGTGGCAGAATTGGGATTTAAACTCAGGTCTGTCTGATTCCTGACACTCCGATCTTTGGATTATCCATAAATAACTTATTGGTCGACAATTATGCCCCAGGCACCGTACTGGGCTCTGGGCTCATGTAGAGGTTGGCCGCATGAGTTTGGCTTGGCAGCTGGTGGGGTTGTTAGTGTGGCGGCCTCCCCACGGGGCTTGGTGGGAGCGATGCTGGCCTTCGGGGCCAAGCAGACAGACAAGTGGCACCGCGGCCTCCTTTACCTGTCCCAAAGTCGATGGCCCTGAGGGTGTCCACTATGTGTTCTAGGTCCAAAGTAAAGTAGTCCATGTTTTCAAAGCCCTGCTCTATCTTGCCCAGCTGGCAGCCCTTGGAAGCGTCCACGATGCTGCAGGGAGAGACAAGGGTGAGAGCATGAGGCTCGGCTCCGGGCGTCCCATGGGGCAGCCCTGGCTCTGGGCCAGGCCCAAGCCCCGGCTTCAGGGAGAGACTCCCAGAGGCGGGGGACAAAGTGTTTCCTCTCCAGTCTCAAGCAGAACGATGGTCCAAGGAAGTGGGATGCACAGGCCAGAAAAGCCATCCAGGGGTCCCCTCCCCGCGGGCCTAAAGCTCAGGGGTCCCACAGGTCAGGCATCAGGGGCCCTGCTGGGCATTGGGCGATTAGGCCAGAGGCCCTGGGACACTGACCTTCTGATGAGTTCCTTGGCACTCTGTGGGGGAGAGAGGACAGAGGTTAGGACTGCAGCCAGGGGTAACCCCAGGAAATGAGCAGAGACAGTGACTGGGTGCTGCAGATGGACGCTAGGTGCCTGTCCCTAGCCCAGTGGTGACCCACACCCCACCTGAGCTGAACGGAACTTGGATTTTCCCCCTCTGTCCATGGTCTGCACGTGTCTTGGTCACCACCCTTGGACCCTCCCATTGGCCTGTAGGAGGCCGGGATTCTCCAGGTATCAATCCAAGTCCTCCTACAGCCTGAAGCCTCCCAGTCAGAAGCAGCCTAATCACCTTTTCAGGTGCAAAGCCCAGCCCACAGGAGCTGAGGAAGTTTTTAATGAACTGAACTCTGACGTCTTACAGCGAACCTTTTCTGTCATCTCCCCACAAGCTCTTCCAGGCTGGGCCTTGTTCACCTGTTTCCACCTCAGCGCCTGTGCTATACTAGGTGCTCAATTAATTGCCTCTCTGTGGACCCCTGTACGTTGGAGCTTCCAAAGTCAATTCACAACCATCCTCTTATTTGATCCTCATTAAATCAGTAAGAGGAAGGTAGCTTGTTACATGCCCATTTCACAGATGAGAAAACCAAGGCTCTAGGGTTTAAATGACTTGTCCAAGGGGCCACGGGTGGGCAGTGGAAGGGCACACCCTGAAGCTGCCCAGGCCCTCTGAGTCCCACTCACCAGGAGGAACGTGGCCCCGCCAGGCTCGTCCAGGGACTGGATGGCTGTCTCCACCAGCTTGGTGGACTTGTCGAGCTGCCCGCGGTACTGCTGGATGAGGGCCTCGATGAAGCCCAGCTTCTCCTCCTGCTCCCGCGTGATCCGCTGCAGTAACTCGCTCTTCTTCTCGTCCAGGATGGCGTACAGGGTGTCGAACTTCTGACTCAGCTCTTCCTTCACCTGGTGACTGTTCTCCTGGGGACAGAAATCCCATGGTCACATCCCGTGGGGTCCTTACTACGTAGCTTTGGAGGAGGCCTTATGACATCCCCATTTGGCAGAAGGCAAAGTGAAGGCCGGTGAGGAGGAAAGCACCCGTGAGGTCCCAGAGACGCTCAGTGACAAGTGGAAGCTGGTACCGTGGAGAACAGCTGGAGACTCAGGTCACAGAGGGTGACCCCTCTCCAGGCCCCAATCTGCACATTTCCCTCCACGTGGGGTTGAGGCTGAGGCTGGAGGCAGGAAGGTCCGCCTCACTCCCAGGTGAGGTGGAAGTCAGCTCCCTGTAGCCGCCCCAGAGGAGGGGCAAGCTCCCTTCCCCCCAGGACGCCACACCTGAGCTGCCTGCTCTGATCAGTGGATATGACAGTAGCGCCTCTCGGATGGGGAACTCTCAGAGGCCATCACCTTGTCCCCCTCCTTCCTTTGAACCCACCCTGCCCTCAACTTTTCACCCGTGGCAGTTACTTCCCCAGCTCATCTCCAGCTCCCTGCCTCAAGGGGAGACAGGAATCCTGGATGCTTCTCCAGGGCTGAGAAAGTCCCCTTCTGCCCTCTGCAGTCTTGCCACTCAGAGTGTGGTCCGTGGGCCTGCAGCTTGGGCAAACCCTGGGAGCTTGTCAGAAATGCAGAGTTGCATGCTTCCTCCCAGACCTACTGAGTCAGAACCCCCGGGGTGGGGGGTCATGTGCCTCTAACGTTGGAGGACCATTGGTCTCCACAGCACACTGAAGTGTTCTGAAAATTACTAGTGCTGAATAAATGCTGGGGATGATTGGCGGGCACTCCCTGGTCAGGGACCAGGTCTGTCTTGGCCATGCCCGACGCAGCTGTGCTCACCAGGCATTTGCTAAGTGAGCAGATGGACGGCTTCGTCCCTCCGCAGCCTTCATTCACAACCCAGGAGCGAGTCTTTCCTGGAGACCAGTTTTACGGGACTTCAAACCTCCAGGCAGGACTCTTGCGTCCCCTCACCTTGGTCACTCGACAGGAGTCCTCCAGCTGAGTGATGATGGTCTGCACACGGTCATTCCCCGCCACCAGCATGGAGACGCAGTTACTCAGTTCAGTCTAGAGGGGAGGATGGATGGGAGTCAGGAGGAGAGACACGGAAACAGACTCGGGCTGGCGTGCTCAAGCATGGCAGCGACATGGTGCCCTCAGTCCCCTCTCTGCTAGAAAGGGTCTCCAGCTTTACTGGGGTGTCACTCAGGTCATTGCAGAGAATATCAGAGAGAGCCTGCATCCCTTATTTACAGATGAGGCCCAGAGAAGGCAGCTGAACTGCCCAAAACACACAGCCAGGTACTAGCAGAGGAGGGGCTGGTAACTGAGAAAAGAAATAGAGTGGGAAAGTTCTAGAAGAAAGAGATCAAGAGAGGAATAGAAAGTAGAGAAGAAAGAGTACAGAAAGGAGGGCTAGAGTTTACCATGTGGACAGGATGGTGAGGCCAGGGGCCCCGGGAGGGGGCTCTAGGCTGCCTCCCCTTGCAGGGGAGTATAGAGTGTGGAGAGCTGAGGCTGGGGTGGAGATATCTGGGGCCCAAAGTACACAGGATGGAGAAGCCGTGGCCTGAGAGGGCCTGGTGTCCTGGCGGTGGGGTCTGGCTTCTCCCCTGTGGCCACACCCAGGGGCTCTCAGATGGTTCTAAGTATAACCCATGAGCTCAGCCACCTCCCCCAGGAAGGCAAGGGCTGATGTCCCCGCGGCCTGGGAAGTCCCTCCCGAGGGACTATTCCTAAAAGGCCTGCTCAGCAAATCAACGAGGATCAAATCCACCTCCTGAATCATCTAGGGGTAGAAGCGGCCCAAGCTGGTACCTTCTGTCCCTGGAAGACACTCTGCAGCGGGGCCACCTCGCAGGCCTGGTGGGCTCCGAACACCTTGCACATGGAACACGTGGGCACCTCGCACGTGAGGCAGTAGATGTTGATTTTCTCATCTTCGTGCTCTTTGCACATTGGGTGGCTGCCCTTCTGCAGGGGCCGGCTAAGGTGAGGGACAGTCACAGGTCAGGGGGAGTCCCAAGCCCCTCTCCCGGCTTCAATCACAGGAGGACCAGCACCAGGGAAACAATGTCACCAAACCTAACCCCACATCCCAGGACTCGACTGCTGGGCTTGGCTTGGGGCTCTGCCAATGCAGAGGACACGGGACGGGTCTTAGAATCCCAGAGAGTGGACTTGGAGATGGTTTGGAAAATAGGAACCCTCCCTCCCCAGTGAACTGACTTGCCCAAGGTCACCCAGCCCGGCAGGGCAAGGGAGGCTAGAGCGCTTTGCTCTAATTATAGTCACCGCAGCTCTTGGTTGCTGCAGACTGGGCTCTGAACTAAGCAATTTATACTGATGGCCTCATGTAATTCTATATTTAATCCTCCAGACTGTATCCTCCACCCAAGCTGAGACGCTCGCCTGGTCACTTCGTCCCTGAATCTACAGTGGACAGTACCGGGCGCGAGGAGATGTCATTCAATCCAGGTAGAAAGAATAAACCAATAAACACAGCCTGGCGACACCTGAGGCTCAGAGAGGAGGCCACACGCTGCTGAGTCACACATCTAGCACAGAGGTGGCCGAGCACAGGGGTGGCTGAGCACAGGGGTGGCCGAGCACAGGGGTGGCCCAGCGCCAGCATCGACTGACTCCCAGGGAGTCTCCCCTGGGTCCAGAGCTGCGGCTCTCTCTCCCCTCTACACTCATGCTTAGAGCACCTTCACTGCATTCTCCACTTAGGGCTTCCGGCACGTTCTGTGTCCTTCTCATAGGGTAAAATCGGCCATTTCCCAGCCCAGGTTGGGGTAGGCCCCACCCCTCCGGCTAGACCATACTCTCATCCGAAAGGTTCCCAGTCCCTGACATCACGGAATCTCATCCACGTCAAATGATGACTGTCCCCTATCCGTGTCAACGCCTCACCTTCCAACAGCCTTGCGTGACTGGTCACACCCAGGCTTTATTGTCCCCTCCAGTTCTGGACTAAGACTTGTCTTTTTGCATCCTTGAGCCCAGGGTCTCCATGCTGACAGGAGACCACCTGTCCCCATGCCCTAGGGAAAGAGCTCCGCATGGCCGTGCAGAGGTGCGGCAAGATCCTGAGGGTCAGTGGCCTGAGCTCACCTCCCTCCTGGGGACCCACCCTGCCAAGCTCAGGTTTCAACATCTGGATTCAAATCAGATTGTTCTGCCCCTTATTCATTGTGGTTTTGGACAAGTGAGCTCACCTCTCAGAGCCTCAATCTCTCTCAGGACTACTGCAATCGGGATGGAAGTTGTTTGTAAAGAATGTGAGGCGCAGGGCATGGGACAGACCCTAAGCACAGGGCAGCCGTCATTACCACTTGACTCTTCGGAAAGGCCTCAAAGGGTTCAAACAGGACATGCTCTTAGGTCCATGCTGGGTGGGCCGATTATTTGGTACAATATCAATTGTATTTTAATTTCTTTGATCAACAATATGTTTATATTTTTGTAGCACTAAGTTCTAGAAATACCAGGGGCAAGATAGCCCAAGAGTTAAGAATATTCAGATTGTGGAATCAGTCATAGATTTAACACTTACTGGCTGTGTAACCTTGGACAAACCTCTGACCCTCTCTGACCATGCATTTCTTCATGGAAATAAGAATGCCTGAGAGGATTACACAGGAAAAATGTATAAAAAGCATTGAGTACATGCCTGCACATAGTTCTCAATGAATATTTGATTTTAAACATTTCTTTCTTATCCATATCTTTTTTTTTTTCTTTTTTGTACTGGGGATTGAACCCATAGGCACTTTACTACTGAGCCACATCCCTGGCCCTTTTTATTTTTTATTCTGAGGCAGGGTTTTACTAAGATGCTCAGGGCCTTGCTAAATTGCTGAGGCTGGCCTTGAACTTGCAATCCTCCTGCCTCAGCCTCCTGAGTCTCTAGGATTACAGACGTGAACCACTGCGCCCTGCTACAGTAAACTGATCTTGTTGTCCATCCCGTTTTGCAGACTGGGAAAATAAAGCCCCAAATCCTCGACCAAGAGGTCCCAATGCTTTAGTAACAGAAGCAGAAGAGCAAATATCATACAGCAGGCCCGAGTTTTGGTCACTGGGCTTGGTCTGTCTCCCTCGGGCAGGGTGCTCCAGGGGCTTGGTGAAGGTTCTGGAGCATAAAGACCATCTCGTCAGAATGTCCTGACTCTTTTTCCTCTGGTGCTGGGGCTTGAACCCCGCCTTATGCTGGCCAAACACATGCTCCACCACTGAGCTATGCCCCCACCAGGGCATCCTTTTTTATAAAGCTCTCCCTCCTGCACGGCTCTGTCTCTGTCCACTTGGAGGCCCAAGGTGACACTGCACAACCCCACCATTCAAGTTCTGCCTGAGACAGAGCTGCTGTGTTGGCTGGGTCAACCCAGATCCTCGGCTTGCTTTGCAGCCGGGAATGCTGGGTACTGACTTTGCCTCTGTGGGCCTCAGATGCCCGTGGAATGGGGCTAACAAAAGTCAGGCCCGGGCCATGGGGCACCTAGAGGAAGCATCCAGAGCCCGGCTGCAGGGAAGGGGGAAGGACCGTTGCTATTATCCGCAGCCTGGCTATGTTCTCACGGGGCACTTTCTCTACCACCTGGGGCCACGCCACTGGCTCCTGTCTCCTTTCCTTACACCTCATCTTTCCCCCCATCTCTGTCTCAGTGTCCTCCAAGAGGGCAGCCTAACCCCCTTCCCATGCACTGGGTGAGCTGAACAGCCACAGGAGCCACTCCTGCCTGAGGAAGATGGTGGCTCTGAACTGTGTCCTTGCCCAGGGACGCCATCCTGAGCAGACACAGCAGGAGGACAGTGCCTGGGAGGTGGCCGGGGCCTGCACTGACCTGGAGCACTCCTGCTTGTAGATGTCGATGATGTTCTCCACCAGCAGGTTCCTCTGCAGACCGTACACCCCGTGACGATCCATGATCACCTCGTGGCGACAGGAGGGGCAGCGGAAACGGCCACCAGACATGGACAGCGAGCTGCTCCGGTTGGTCCAGTAGGGATTTGCAGCCTGCAGGTGACCAAGGCAGAGGTGAGGCGTGTGCCTCCTCGGTCGCTTCCTGTCCCAGTCCCCTAGCCTTCCCCTGCTCACTCCAAGGCTCTGGTCAAACCAGAACACCTGCGCTCCCCGCAACCATCCAGGAGCCTGCAGACCTGGGTTCAAGTCACCTATTCTGAGTGTCGTTGGGCAAGCAGCCTTATCTCTCTGTGCCTCCGTTTTCCCGCCCCTGAGAGGGGCCTTATGATTACAGCAAGGTCCTGGGACTGCCACTTCAAAGATGCCAGAGGGACAGGGCATTTCCTGCAGTGTCCCTGGGAACCCCGCCTCCCGCCCCCCAGCCAGGACCTCCACTTCTCTTTTTCTCAGGGAGATGGAGCCTCTCCTGCCCCCATATTGAAGCAAACACCCTCAAGGGGAAGATGCCCCTGCTGCCCAGGGCCGCCTGCCACCCTCCTCCCAGAGCTCCTGGCCCTGCCACCGGGCTGGCTCGGCCCCAGGGGTCTGGTTTCTCTCTCCTCTCCGCCTGCCTCCCCCACTTATCGCTCCAGACATTTGACTCTTGACCACAGAGTGAACAGGGAGGGCAGGTGGGGCTGGAGGGGACATGCGTCATGGAGAAGGACTGGGGCGCAGAGCCACCCCAGCCCCCTCCGCCCAGTCCTGAGCCACCGTCCGGCCTCCCTCTGGAGGGGAAAGAGCCAGTCCTGATTGGAAGGGTCCTAGGCTCAGCGGGAAGGAACCACTGGGCCCCTGGACAGGCCATGCCGGCACCCACCTGGAAGACGTCACTGGCGCACTTCCGGCAGAGGTTGTGCTGGCAGGGCAGGATCACCACCGGCTTGGTAAACATCTCCAGGCAGATGGGGCAGATCAGCTGCTTCTCCAGGTTCTCCATGGGGTTCCCATCCTGGATCAGGCTTGATTTATAATCCATATCGCTGGAGCGAGGCCGCCTTCCCCACCACCTGCTTCGCAGACCTTTGCCACCAACACTCGCTTGCTCAGATCCTCTCTGCCGTCTCCTCCGGGAGCCCGAATTCTGTCTTGGGCAGAGGCCCCTCTGGTATTTATAGCTGGGCTGCAGTCACATGAGCCCCGGGAGGGGACCAGCTGAGCATTCCGATGCCAAGTGGCCAGCCGGGCTTGTGTTTCCTCCAGGCCTGAAAGACTTGGCGCTCTCAAATCGCAGGCGAGGATGAGCAATCGCTGTTCCCCTGGGACGGGGGGCGTAAACAAGAACAGCCTGTTCGGAGGCTGGTTTAGGGGAGGGCTCGGTACCCAGGGTACCCAGAGTTTCCTGAATAAATTGGTCTTCCCCTGGCCAGGGTGCAGAGCCAGGGAATGGGACCCCGAGAGGGGGCCACTGGGATGCCAGGAGTTAATAGTGCCCCCTCACCAGCCTGATCAATTCCAACCCCTCTCCTACAGCAGCTCCCAAGATGAGGGATCAGGGCAGCTCCCCTCTGCCTCAGACCTGAGCTTGGCATTCTATTGGGGACCCTGGAGACCCCACCCCAGGCAGCCTGTCCCTCCATCCCTTGCCTGTTTACCCTTGTCTACTTACAGCACTTAATGCTGAACGGGCTCCCTTGAGACACAGCCCAGTCCCTCATTTGACAGATTTTTGATATGGGTCACGAGGAGAAAAGGACCTTGTTCAAAGTCACTTAGAAACCTGGCACGGTGTTGCACGCCTGTAATCCCAACGATTTGGGAGGCTGAGAAAGGAGATTGCAAGTTCCAGGCTAGCCTCAGCAACTTATCGAGGCCCTAAGCAACTTTACAAGACCTTGTCTCAAAATAAAAAATAAAAAGGGCTGGGACATGGCTCAGTGGCTAAGCGTCCCTTAGGTTCAATTCCTTGTACAAAGAAAAAAGAAAAAAAGAACAAGAAAAGTCATTTAGGAAGGAAGCGGAGAGGCCAGGAGTCTTATTCATTCATCAGACATTTTTCTGAGTATTAAGTATACAGCAGACACCAAGGTGACAGAAGGATGAGTGATCCATTTCCCTCCCTGAGATGCCCACAGTCCGGGAAGGGAGATGGATGGGAATAACTCTCCAGAGCACTGCCTGGACCTTAGCCAGGGGCTCCCCTGGGCTCTCTGCCCAAATCTTAAATCTTTCTTCATTTTTTGGGGTCATTTTCTTTGTTGGCAGGTAGAAGTCATTAGAGCAGTTCCAATGGCTGTTTTTTGTTTGTTTGTTTGGTTGGTTTTGGTTTGTGGTACTGGGGATGAAACCAGGGGTGCTTAACCACTGAGCCACACCCCCAGCCCTTTTTGATATTTTATTTAGAGACAGGGTCTCATTGAGTTGCTATAGGGCCTCGCTAAATTGCTGAGGCTGGCTTTGAACTCACCATCCTCCTGCCTCAGCCCAGCCCGATGGCTATTTGTAAGGTAGGATCTCATGTAGGAACCTTGGGGTCACCCAGCCTAAGGTGCCAGGCAGAAGACTGGAAGCAGCGGCCTCCGGCCCCAGGCCGAGTCTAGGAGGTCACGCAACACGTGGGGAAAGTGTGCCGGACTCCAGAAAGAGGGCAACCTGGGCCTGAGAAAGAACTAGCAGGTCAGCCACAAGGGCTGAGCGGCCAACCCCGGGAAAGAGAAGGGAGGAGAAGAGGAACCAGAGCAGGGCAAACCCCTCCCACCAGGCACTAATGGCTGGTTTCTGGAGATCACTTACCACGCGCCTGGCTCTGTGCCGAGCATCCTGAGGCGTTATTTCATTTCATCATCAATATAACCACCATATCCCCACTCCACGGGGGGTGGGGGGATACTCAAGCACAGAGAGGTATACCCACAGTGTAAGGTCACACAATGAGTAAGAGGTGGCTCTGGAGCCCGAGCTCCTCATGTCTCTGCTTGATTGTGGCAAGGTGACACTGCCAGCCAGCCAGGGGTGGGAAGACCAAGACTGAGAAGAGAGCATCGCTTCCTCCCTGCTCACAGCCCTTAGGATTGTTCAACACTGGCAGCACTGTGCCCAGGGAAGGTGGGCTTCCCGCTGCCACCCGGGATAAGGCACAAAGACTGTAACCCTCACATGGTTAATTCCACTCTCTTTTGCCTAAGGAGGTGGTTAAGGCCAATGAGACCCAAGGAGAAGCCTTCTGGCTAAAATTAAATGGTTTCCTCCTTGATAACAATTAATAGGGCTGGGGATAGAGCTCAGGGTTCAATCCCCAGCACCACAAACAGATAAACAGATAAAAATTAATATTCAAACAAGGCATGGTGGCACATGTCTGTAATCCAGTGGCTGGGGAGGCTGAGGCAGGAGGATTGTGAGTTCAAAACCAGCCTCAGCAAGTTAGCATGGCTCTAAGCAACTCAGCAAGACCCTGTCTCTAAATAAAATATAAAAAGGGCTAGGGATGTGGCTCAGGTGTTAAATGCCCCTGGGTTCAATCCCTAGTACCCTCCTCCCAAAAAATGAAAGAAGAAAGCTCATTAATGCTTTATTTCGGGGATAGGGGGAGTACCTGGGATTGAACTCAGGGGCCCTTGACCACTGAGGCACATCCCCAACCCTATTTTGTCTTTTGTTTAAAGACAGGGTCTGGCTGAGTTGCTTAGCCCCTCACTTTTGCTGAGGCTGGCTTTGAACTCGCGATTCTCCTGCCTCAGCCTCCTGAGCTGCTGAGATTTTACAGGTGTGCACCACTGCACCTGGCTCATTAGTGCCTTTGAATGGGGTCCTGGAGGGCGGGCAGACATTTTGCAACCATGAGTTGTAAAGTCTGAGGAAGATGTCAACTCTCAGAGATGACAGAGGGGAACTATAAAAAAGTCCCTGGATTGTTGATGCCACCATTTTGCTGCCAATTTATCCAACTGGTAACTGCCCACCTCTTAATTAAGATGTGAGATAACAAAAGTCACAGTATCCGCCCTCATCATGGCCCTGCAAATATTCATGATTCTAACGTCTGTGTGTCAGCGAGCCTCAGACCCCTGATTTCAGGGCAGACTTGTTTTCTCCTCTTAAGTGCAGATTTGTTGGCCATTCCTATGGGATACTCCCTCAGCACCTAAAACTCATATCCCCCACACAGCACAGCACCTTCCCCAGCCTACCTCCTCCTTCCGCTTTTCTTGCCTCATGCCTCAGTGGGCAACACTACCAGCCACCCATCTGCACCTAGCAGGAAGCTGAGAGTCCCTTCAGGGTTCCCCACCATGGCATGCCCAGCCAGTTTCCAGCTTCTGCCTGTGAGTTCCACTGTCCCTTGGGACTTTGAAGACTAAGAGCAAAAACGGTATCTATCCACCCGGGGTTCTTCAGTGAGGGGATGGGTGAGAGTGCAGGGACAGAGCTGGGACCTCTGCCCCCGCCGCCGGCCATCCACCTTCTCCAGGGCTCTTCCTCCTCCTCTCTCTCCTTTCCTGAGGTTGGCCACTCGGCCCTTGTGACTGACTGGCTGGTTCTCCCTCCTTCCTGAGGTCCTGCACACTTTTCCCATAAATAACCTGAGATTCCGAAGAGACTGAGCATTTGAGCAAGATTTTTTGAGGCAGTATAGACCATGCAGAGAAAGGGAGGGATGGAGTCCATTCTAAAGGTTTGGGAAGGCAGGGCCACTCCCACCTTTGAGGTGATGGGTGCGAGGAAAGGAGGGAAGGGAGGTCAGAGCTGGGAGGCGCAAGGAAGGTGACTGAGGTCAACTCCCCGCTCAGCAGCAGGAGTGGGTGGTGGAGAAGGCTGGGACCCTCCAGCGTGGGACACAGGAGGGAGAGCCCTGGGGAAGGTAGAGACCCCGCAGGAGCAGAAGGCCCTTGCTTTGTCCCGGCAGATCTGTCATTTGCAAGGGGCCATTCACGTGGTCCTGTTGACTTTCTCAGCCACACTTGGCAGCCCAGGTGCCAAGCAAATGGACAGTGGGATCGACTCCAGCCCGGGCATAGCAAGGCTGGCGCTGCTGAGAGTCCAGGGGTGAGGCAGGCAAGTGCCCGCGTGGGCCACGCTGGGCATCAAAACATGTCTTGTCATTTAATCCTCACAACAGCCCCGTGGGGGAGGTATTATGATCTTTGTTCCCCTGTCCCACAGGAGGAAATGAGGTACAGAGAGTTAATTGGCTTGGCAGAAGTCACACAATCACAAGTGACAGAAAAAGGCTAGGGTTCACGTCCGAGATAGCCTGATTACTAAACTTGTGCTCCTCCACCAAAGCATTTATTGAGTGCTTATTATGTGCAGGGCATTGTGCTAGGTCCTGTCCATTCTTCCTGCTGTCCAGTCCTCCAAATAACTCAGGTTGGGATCATGATTTTCCCTGTTTTGCAGCTGAGTTACAGAGGTTCAGAGAGGGGAAGTCATTCAACAGAGTTTCAACAGCAATGAGTGACAGAAAGAGCATCGGAACCAGAAAATTGTTAACCTTTACCATTAACAATTATCAGAAATACTGTAAAGTTAGGGCAGGTGAAGTGACTAATATAGAATATATCACTGTTGTGTCTGGCCCAGAACTCTTTTTTTTTTTTTTTGG